ATTAAGACAAATCTGTTTGTTTGTGCCTAATTTCTGGTTAATTATAATTATACAGTGTAAGAGAAAATATCGAAATAGGTTAAAAAAGAACAAGATAGTCCATAACAGGTTATAACCTTTTGTTGAAATTCTAAGAACAAACTATGTTAATAAAAGAGTAAATCTGAAAACTACTTTGCACCCTAAAAACCTTATTTTGCAAATTGTTACTTAAGTATTCACAGTGTGATTATGCAAGGGTTATTGGAATAAATAAATAAATAATAAAACAGACCACCCTGAATTACTTTAAATCTAATGACACCTTGAACTACTATTGGTCTAATGATCGAATTTTCATATTATTGGACTCCATCTTACTTGTTTGAAGAGGTGACCTCAAATATGCTAATTAATTAGTGCAGATGATATTTTTAAGATACTAAATCAGACACAAAAACCTACTTTACACTTTAAATAAATGCTTATTATTTTTTAATATTTTATTTAATAATATTTATTTTATTTGTTAATAAATGTTAATAAATGCATGACAACATGCAAAATTTAAGCGAAATTGTTTGAATAGTCCCTGAGAAATCAAATTTTAAAAATATGTCTCTTTTGAAATTCGATTTTTTAGAAAATTGCTTTCAAATTTTGTAATTTTTCATTTAAAATTACATGCTCAAAAATTATATAAAAAATTGCTTACAATTTGAAAATTTTTCAACTATTCTTAAATAAAATAATAAAAAATAATAAGTGCTTACTAAAAATAATTTTTTGCATGGAATTATCTTTAGATAAACGAATTTTATAATTGTGCTCAAACATTTTTCAATTCGCTTAAAAATTTCTCGAGATAGGGTGGAATATGCAAAAATTAAAATTAACCTTAAAGGGTCTATTGGACCACTCTCTTGACCAAACTATTAGCACCATATTTCCTAGATTGCGGCTAACCTCCTGTAATTTATGGGCGAGAAATCCGAATCAGCCGAAAAAAGGTATGTTTATTCAGAGAAAGTGAGTTTTTGTGCGGATTTCGCAACCTAAAATATCGTCCGCACTGATTAACTAACATATTTGAGGTCACCTCCTCCAACCAATAAGATTGAGTCCTAGAACGTGAAGATACGATCACTAGATCAAAAGTTGTTCAGGGTGGTACACTTTTCTTTTTTTTAGAAAAATTGTACTTCAATTTCGTTAATCTACTATTTCTCACAGAGAAAATTTAACCTATAAATTGTAATAGTAGAATAATATAATCAAGGTATTCATCCTAGCTTCTCACCCCCCTATTTATTTTTAATAATTCTTTCCAAAATATTTCTTTCACTTGAGATTATAAAATCGCTGTTTTATCATAATTTAATCATTTTGCGAGTCATTCAAGTTAATCACCAAATTAATAAATTATATTAAAACAATTGTTTTTGATCTTATTTGATTGGAATTTTCAACAGTAATTATGAAGAAAAAAAATTAACGTAAAATTAAGTCAATTTAGACAAACGAAAGTACCAAGTTGTTATAGGAAAGTGTCAGTAGTCCTCTTCTCCAGAGGTCTTCACAATTATTGTATTTTTCCGTTTGGGGAAAACCATCTCTGTACTTCAAATTTCACTGAAAAGGACCTGTATGTTCTCTTGAGACAAATTGTCCAATATGTTGGATAAAATTTGTTTCAATTTTATCCCATAAATAAATAATACTTAATGATTTTTTAATGTTTGTATGCCATTATATATATATAAAGTGATTGTCTATGTGAAAATACAATAAACCTTACCTTAGTTATTCTCAGTTTTTTTTAAATACAATGAAGAATTATACCAATGACAAGCAAGAAAGCCGTGGTGGCTCAGGTGATCAGATCTTCCAATGAGAGGAACCGAGTTCAAATCCCAGCGATGATTGGTCGATACGATTTCCGCACTCGGGTTGCACCGACCACAGTGCTGACGTTAAATATCCTCAGTGGTAGACGAATCATGGATTAGAGTCCTCTTGCCGTGAGAGGTTTTTTTTTAGTTTTCCTCCCCATGTAACGTAAATGCGGGTTAGTCCTCCATGTCGGCAAATTTCTCCCAATACTTGATCTAAGAGTTCCCTTGTCTTCCGGATTGGGTTCAAAATTGCAAGGCTATGAAGATGAACATTTGTTCAACTCCATAAGATGATTCAATGACGGTTATAAAAATAAAATGGAAAGTAAGAAACTCAATTCAAGAAGCAGTTTGGACAATTGGATTACCTAGTGAAATCTTGTGATTTGACGGTGGATTTTGCTTAACGACTAAAATGTAAAAAAATACACTATAAAAATATCCTGCATTCTGCAAACATTTGTTGTTTTATTATGCAATAATTTAAAAAAAAGTTAATTAAGTTCAATTAATTGAATTTGAGATAAGACATATATTATTGCATTTAGGACTTTATTTTCTTCAAAGCTACATATTTCTTGAATGAAGTGGCAAATATTACATGAATATTAGGCGAAGTGGCAAAAAATTTCACTTCTTCATTTGTTATATTGATATTTTATTGATGATTTATATTGATAAATTGTTATATTGATAATTTGTTATATTTCTATAAAATGAATCCTTAAAAAAAATTAACAAAAAGCTAATTCACTTCAGATCAAACTTTAGAAAATTTAAGATCATTTTATCAATTTGAAAAAGTCCTCATTCCCTTTTGTCAAATATTTTATTTGACCGAAGAATTTTTCACATCATCAAATCAAAATTAATGAAGTGAATATTATTAAAGAGGAAAAAATCACTTTTTAGCATTCTATTGACAAATACGTTAAGACATTTTTTTAAATGCATATTTAGTATTTTTAGATTACATATACTGCAAATTTTACCCATTTCTGATGATTTAATAATAATTTTTCATAATTATTGCAAGTAGAACAGTTTAACAGGGCCCAATACCGCGCACTCTCGGACCTTACGCAGACAAAGTAGTCACCCACCACCTTATCGACTGCAGCCAGTGATGCTTGACTTCGGTGTTCTACTGGGAACCATGTCTCTTTACGATCAGTCCACTATGAAACCGGTTGAGGTAAAAGAATTTCTTTTAAAAAGTCCATAATCGAACCAAATGTTTCGTTGGTAATAAGAGAACTAAAATTGTTCTTAAATCATAAACTTGAAAAAAGAAGGGAAAAAAAACTTCTCTACCTTGCTAAAGTGTTTTTTCTTTGGTTGGAATAACAGAACTTCAAATGAGTTGATACGTCAGTTTCAGCGAGTTATATAAGGGCCTAAATAATTGTTTTATAAAAATTCTAGTCTAGCATTTTTATAGAATAAAGCATTTTTACAAACAACATAAAAGTTGTTATCATTAAAATATTTGACAAACAGAAAAGTCTCCAGTTTAATTTAAAACAATGGCTAGTGCTAAACCCCTTAGAAAGCTCCATTTTTTAAAAATATCTCTCCCTAACCATCTAATTGAAGTTTTTGAACAGTCTTTAAAGATGCTGCTGAAATTAATTAATGATTGCACTAATAATTAATCAGTAATTAAACACTAATTTTCAAATTGAATTATCCTCTCATTTTCTAGTTATAAAGTTCGTCTGAAAATGGCGCTTTGGACTAGCAGAACGGAAAACCTTAAAATATTGTTTTCTTGTGATGCTAGATCATTTTAACAGAAGTGTTTACTGGGGGCGGGAATCTGCTAATTTTGTGTTTAGACTGCATCATGTTTTTCTGCAAATAATTGTTAATTTAAAAACGCGGTTCAACTGTGCAACCTGTCAATGAAATTTCAAAATAGTTTCTGAACTTTTGGGAGCATAAATATTTTAGCTTCTTCAACAATATATAACCATTTGCAATAAGCCCATACTCTGATTGGTCTGATTCATTACCTTTTTACGATCTTTCTTTTCTTGATTTATTTCACCGTAACTGTTGCCATAGCGACGCGTTAGTGACAAAAAAATTATTGTAACTGACAATAGCTCGAGTCTACAACAAGTTTTACCAGATAAATATAGCTTTATAAATTTATTGAAAAATTTACTGTTTTATTATTTTTTAATTTTGAAAATTGCTGTCGAAAAGAATATGAAAGATTCTTGTAAAAAGGGCATTCAAAAGATTATTGCTTTCTCATTTACTTTTTTTTTAAATCTTATAATTATGTTTATCTGTCTAAAGTAAATAAATTATGTATTCTGTTCATCACCCACTCATTCCGCTTTTATATTATTTATCATAGATACTTTTTTCCTTTTTTTATTGCTATTAAAAGTACTCTTCATCTCGTAATTAGATTTACCTGCTTTAAGAATATAAATGATGATAATAACTCCACAGGTTTTCATAAATTTTAAAACTTTAATTTTGCGATTAATATTTATTTGCTCCAGAAGTTTTGTTTAATTTTATTGAATAATTTTAAACTGACAGCAAAATAACGTAAGACAAATTTTATTTTTTTTGTAAAAATTTCCATATAAATATTTAAACTAAGTTTACGAAATTTTGTGCTGCGATTGCAAATAACTATCAAGGTAAGTGATACAAATTACAAGCTTAGTGCTTGACTATCTGGCATTAGGAGTTCATAAATACTTGTTTTTTGTCGGTCCCTCAAATCTCTGAAAGCTTTAAATTTCATTCCTAAGTATGAACGAAACAGCTTTTAAGTTATAAAATAATCCTCTAAGTGTGAATTGAGAAGTTTTAAATAAACGTCCATTATTGTAGGCAGTGTATGCATTTCCGTTTTATAATCAGGATTACTAGTCTTAAGTAGATAAAAATATAACTACACAATGCTATAATCTCTCTTTTTCTCCTTTTTTGTGAATTGTTTAACGTTTTGTGAATTGTTGTTCAAACGTGTATTAAGAAAGTATTATTTATTAACTTTCTTTTTTTTATTTTATTCATTAATACTTTTTTTAAATCCTTATTAGTTTCAATTTCAATTCAGCAACCAAGATAAGCAAGAGAGGGAGGTGTGTAGTTCACCTGGCTGAACAAGACGGACATCGAGTATCTTTTCCACCTGTGAGTTGTAGGCAGTGATGTGGAAGATGCATTCCGGGCTGTCCTGCACACACGTGATATTCACCGGCACCAGATCTTCGGACACCTGCTGCCATCTGGCGGCTCCCGTTGAAGAGCTCACATGGAAAACCTCCGCCCAGAGCCTGTTAACATATACAACAACAATTATGCTTCAGAGAAGAACAATAAAACATAAAATGTATTTCTTTTTATGCAAACTTTTTCTTGCTTAATGATTGTTCAAGTCTTTATTTTAACCTTTTTTTTCTTTCATAAATCATAACAAGTCATTTGCTGAATGATTTAATCAAATTATTAATAAAATCAAATTAATAAATTAATAAAATTTTGATTTTGATTAAAATGCAGCACTTTTGTCATTCATTTTGTCTACGGTGTGCTTTATTAATATTTTTGACCCTTTATTAATATTTATACGATGGTTAGTAAAAAAAATAAATAAACAAGTAAAATTTAAAATTCGAAGGAAAATGAAATTAATATTTCGAACAACTCGCTAACATTAGGATTCCTCGTATTACTTCAATAAAAAATAAAATGTATTCTTTATTAAAATTTTAAATGTATTCTATTTATTTAATTTGTTTAATAAATTATTAAACAATCTGGTATTTTGCAATAATAAATGCGTAAATTTGTATTTTTTAAATTTTAGACAAATTGCAAAATTAAAAAAAAAGTTATGGACTAATGATTACGATTATAATTATTCATTCTTCCTTTTAATTTTCTTATATTCTTCTTTTCGTTCTTTTCTTAATTTTTTTTTTCAATTTCACGTCGGGCATTAATTTGAATACAGATATAGATACAACAAAAAGTAAGGGAAGTAGACAAAGGATTTCAATGAAAACCAGTTTAAACGATTCAATGAAGTAAATACTTCCAGAATTTATAGAAAGTGGAGCTACGTATACTAATTTAAATTGTAAATTTAATTCCAGAGCTGATTCAAAGGGATGAATATATTCATTAAATTATAGTGTAGGAATGAATTTCACAATTATAGCAAATTGTAGTATATGTGTAAATACAGCAATTGAATTGTAGCAATTGAATTGAATATGTGCAGTTTGTATTGCAGGTTTAATTTTAGAACTAACAACCATTTATTCCTTAAAATACAGCGAGATCTACGATAATTATGATCATTCGCTGACAAGAAGGAAGCAAAGGAAGAAATACGAATGATGCAATCAATAAAGTTTCCTGATTTCTGTACAGAGAAAAAAAATTAAGGTAAAATTGCCGTTTTAATAACGACATGGTAATTTTATGGAACTGCGTATTATCGTTATAATAAGGACATTTTTAAAAAAAGAAATATAATTCTGGTTAATAAAACCACAATATACGGAATTTAAACAATTCTTTTGACAATTTTTCCTATCATATGGTAACAGTTAACCCAAAATTCTGGTTCTCTAACTTACAGTTCTTGCTATCGAGCATTTAGTAGAATAAATAAAACTGAAAAGTTAACCGAAAAGATGATTTTTATACCATGCTCTAAGATATCATGATAAAATTAATACATTTTTCCACACTTAGAAAATTTTATTACGTATTATAAAACCACTCTTAATTATTATATTTACCAAAATCATTACCAAAGCGCTTCAGTAAAAATCACCAAGCTTTTTGATGTTCCCATAGAGCCAGAAATTAGGAAAATTTTACCATATTCTGGTAGTTTCGACCATACATTTTTCTCTGTGTAGAAGAAAGTAATACAATTTAAGACATCGACCTTTTCTTAAACTATTTTTGATTCGCTCAGAAGTTTCTTAGCTTTAAAATAGTAAGTGAATAAGTAATCACAGCAACCCACGTACCAGCTTGAACACTGTATAGTTGTATTGATCCTAAAGTAGGAGTGAAGTAGCAAAAACACACGCATGAATAAAAATACATTATATTGTAGAACTAACTAAGGAATCAGTTTGAAATGGCGCATACTGCTTTGTATTGCAAAGTTAATAGAAAATGATTCAAATACACACTTTGTAATTTAGGGTTAACTTTATAGTTAATACAAAGGGACGCATATATACATTAGTTTGCATTGTAACATGGAATGCAGAATTATTGTTAAATGAAGCATATTTACAGCACTTTATATTTCAGGGTTAATTTTGGAACTAACAAACATTCAGAAAAAGAAATTTCCGTAAAATTGAATTTAGAGATAATGTAAATTGACGCACGCCTACAACACTATTGTAGATTGATCTTAGAACTAGCAACCATTTAAGAAAAGAAGAAAAAAAATAAATAAATAAAAATAACAAGTTCGTTGATAAATCCTATATGATAAATAATGAAGGAATGAAAGAGACAAGGATGATAAAACTAATAAAGTTTATTGATTTCTGATAGAAAGCAATACAATTTAATACAGTGGCATTTTCTTTTCACGCTAAAACGACGCTTTAAACAAAGTTATTCCTTAAACTTTAACCATTACTTATTCCATCAGACGACTCTGCTTCAAAATAGTAAGTGAATGAGTAAATACAGCGACCCACGTACCAGCTTGAATACTGTATCGATCCTATAGTGGGTGAGAAGCAGCAATAATATGGATAAAAAAATAAAACAAGAAACTTCCGTTTCAGAATAGTTTTAGTATTGTAGTCACGTCTCTGTCGAGTCTTTTATCAGCAAAACTAGACCCGAATAATAACTAGTATTCAATATTGAGTCAGGTGTATTTTTTCTCTGTCGTTCATGCGCTTAAAATTTTTATTAATTGCGTTCTTTTAGTCAATAACAAAACTTATGAAACAGTTTATAACTTGATTGGAACCTGTTACTTTCGTTCTTTTTTTTAAATGACTATGTAGTTAAATTACTGGAATACTTAATGGAATCCCATTTCATGAGCAACGATGATTGAATAAAAAAATTTTTGTAAAAGTATTTTATATTTATACAGTTTTATAAAATTATTGTAGTAAAATATTATAATAAAATGTAATATTCTTAATTTACTATACCAATTCGATAAATTTATCACATTATAGGATCTTCATTATCGCAGAATCACGGCAAGCCGTGAAGAAATTTGAGGTTTTCAATTATTAACAATTATTTCAATTATCTTTATTTATTTTCAATTATAATTATTATTAATTTAGAGCCCAACTAACAAGACAAAGAGTCTTGAATTATGAAAAATCCTCTACACAAAAATTAAATTCTGAACGAAAAATAAAAGTATGCATTTTTAAGTGAACCAAATAAATATGAACGAAAAATACAGTTATTTAAGTGCCTTAAATTTGTGTTTAAAATATACATACAATTATAAAAAGATTTTCGTTTGTCTTACGCTTTATTGCCCTATTTATTACAAGTAGTAGAAATTTTCCTCTATTTACAGCCTTTATAACCTTACGTTTTTTTCCTCTTATATTAAAGTACAGGAGAAATAGAAATCATTCTTATTGAGGTTTGAAAGTACTCAAAAGTTAACTTTCGAATTTCGCATCATACAAAAAAATAATTCTAGAAAAATTTGCAACTCATACTGATATGAGCGTCAGACTACTCCAATTAACACCTCATTTGTTACTCTAGAATTCTGACCAATTCTCTTTATAGTTCATGTTTTGCTTTTATTTATTTTTTAAAAAAAATAATTTAAATGAAAAATTAGGAAATTTCCGTGGAAATAATTATCTAAGTAGTGGATATTAAAAAAAAATTTTTTTTTTTAATTTTTAACTTCTGTTTTAATTTTTATATCCAGAACAATAATCGGCTGTAAGCTTCCGAAAGTCTGAAAACTAACCCTGGTGATTTTCATTCGAATAAATAATACAAAATTGATCAAATATTGGTAATTTTTGGTTTTAGTATTCATTTTATTTAGTAAAAACTTTTTCAAATTAAGAAATTTAGCGAAGCTTTTGATTTTGATTTTATATCCACAACAATAATCGACTGTAAGTTTCCGAAAATCTGAAAACAAACCCTAGTCTTTTTCATTTAAATAAGTAATGCAAAATAATTCAAATCTTGGTCTTTTTTGGTTTCAGTATTTATTTTTATTTCATTTAGTTAAAACACTTTCAAATTAAGAAACTTAGTGAAGCTTTTCCTGAGAACTATTGCTCAAATAGTTAATTTTCCAAATCGTTTTCTAATTTTAAGCTTTACTTTTCAATTGAAAATAAGACATTTATTGAATAACAATATTGTTTTACAATTCCTTTTAAGATTTCCAAATTCTGAAAACTAAATTTAATATAATTTTTTTTATGAATTCTGGACTAAGTAATTCAGTCTAGCTAAACAAAACAGAATAAATCATAAATGGGATCCTTTTTTGATGTTGAACTTTAAAAAAAAGAAACTTTAAAATGAGAATTTGTGAAAATATTTCAATTAAAACGAAAAACTGTATACAGTAGATTTTCAAAATCGTTTTTGAATTTTAAGCAGGTTTTTTTAGAAAGATATTTCTGGATTTTTCTTCTTTAACAAAATATTTCAGAGTGTTTGGCTGCTAGTTGCTCAGAAACTGAAAATTAATTTCATTTACTCATTTCATAATTAAAATAAGAGAGCAGAGCCCTACCCCTACTATATTAGCTGGAAACAGCATCTTTAATTTGAAAATTTTGAAGAAAAAAAGAACTTGAGAAGAATTTATCTGGGACAGTTCATTCCTCCTTTTACTCATTTCAAACTTTTTAGAGATGCATAATTAGTATCGATTTTTCAAAAGTCGTTCTTCTCCTGGAACTTTCTTCTTCCTTTTTTTTTTTCCTTTCTCGAGCTTTTCTTGTTAGTTTTGACCCCTGGGTTATTTACTTTTCTGTTAAAGAGAATTGCCAAGAGTGGAATAAAAACGAAGGATGAAGAAGATTCAGATTTTCCAGCGAGGGAGGCGCCATCTTGCGGAAGATGATGCGACTGGTGATAGGAGTATAAGAACAACTGCTGCTTCAGAGAGGAATAAGGAAGACAAGGGAAAGGGGCTGTAAAAATTCGGAGAAACCAATCAAAATTAAGGTTACAACAGCTTGCGAAAAAGTGAAAGCCGATAATGAGAGTCATTTAAGAAATGTGCTGAAATTTTCTTCCAGAAATTGCTCGTTTTTCGTCATTTTTC